GAATCAGGATTTCTTAACCTCCAAATATCGCATAAATCAGAATCCTGCATAATGGCTTCTATACATTCTATCGACTTTAATTTTAGTTTGGGATTTCCGCCACTGGCTTCGAGTTCTTTATTAAAGATAAAATGGAAGTCCCCTCCCCAAACAGTGACCGTTTCCAGTGTAATAACCATGTTATTAATATTGTTCATAATAGTGGACATCACTTGAACTTGTTCATCCTCATTGTTTGGCAAATAAGAGATGATTAAGAGAAAAGAACTACCTTGAATTTCTACTAATGCGATAACAAATCTTCCTTGGGAATCGATTATTTTGTCTCTAATTACGTAATTTAACTTACTTCCTAACATAATAGCCGTTCCTTTACTCCTTGGCATTCCGTGCGACATTAAAAGTTCATTCCTAGTTCTCAGAGACCATTCCKTTTCTGTTTCTTTGGTACTGTGTGTTTCTTGCAAAAATGAGATACCGTACTCACTATTGTGTTTTGTAAGCTGATTGAAAATTTTTGTATTCCTTTTATATTCCCTGAGGCCACGGACATTAATTGACAGTATGGAAAAATTATAAACATTCATTTTAAGTTACACGGAAAAAGTAATAAAACAGGAATATTAGTGACACGGAGCTATGCAACATCAAGATCTCGCTAAACAATTGACGAATAACAAAAAAAATACTACATAAAGATTAATTTGTGCTTGCACATGAATGGGCTTTTGCATTTGTTTATCTTAGCCGTATTTTATAGGGCTCTAAAAGAAATACTAAAAAACTTTCCTTTTAAAATTACTTAATTCAGAAACAACATCCCTAGTAGTAGTGATATAAATTCTATTTACTGAATCATCCTAAATTTAAAGTCATTAACTTAAGAGTATAAACAGCAACATAACATATTATTAATATTTAGATTCAGAGTAAAGTTCATTATACCTTATGGTGCGTTGAAGCTAAATAGATTCGTTTKTCCTGKAAGATACAACTGCCYATCGATATATAATCTATCAGGCTCTGCTTTGCTAAATCGGGCCTTCATACCACGTCTTTTGGCTTCTTTAAGAGCCCCCATTAACTTTTTACGCTCGTCCAAAATTTCTTTGAGAAGGTCTTGGTAAATAACGAAGGGGGTATTTTTTAGTAGCTTCACCTGTCAAAGAATCTTTTCAACGTCTTGGTACCGTAGAAACCTTGCAATAATTGTTCTTGGCGCATCT